CTGAGTGAGAGTTCTTGAGAGGCAGTTCCCTTCTCCTTCTTGGTGAGGTTGAGAGTGTGAGTGTTGGCGAGGCTAGAAAGGTGTGTTGTTCGCTTAGCCTAGGCGTGCACAAAAGACATCCGGAAAACCGAGCTCCAGACGGCCTGAGCCGGAATACGTCGACGGAATCGATCCTCAACAGTTTGAGTTTGTTTTTATTCTTTTTTCAATCACCCTTCTAAGTTAAGTTATTTTTAATTTATGCATTATAAAATATTTTAGGTATTAGTGTTTTGTTTTTCTATTTTTAATTTTAAGATGAATATTTATTAGTTTATTAAATATTGTGTTATTGCTAACATGAGTTTTGTGTTATACTAAAATGAGTATAGTATAAAATAATATGCATGAGTAAATATTATAAGAACAACAGGGTTATATTTGTACTTCAAGAACAAAAGACTATAAATTATTTTTAATATATGGAGTAATATTTTTATATTTTCATTGTTATAAATAATGATAGTTTATTAAATTGTTAATAATGAATCTAATAGATGTCCATATTATAGAAAAGTGTCTATGTTATATTTGTTGAGCATAATGATTAAAAGAAGTGAACATACACGAATGAATATTTGAACACGTTAGATAATTCAATGCGTCTTTGATTTTTTATGCTCATTTTGTAAGTTACGTACGCTCATATGGCTAAATATTAGTGACACTCTTATGTCATTTTATGCTCATTTTAAAATGTCATATCAATACATATTTTAAAACTATCATATTACATTAGATTCACATGAGAGTTAATTATAGACAAGAGAGTAAAGATCACCATACCCAATTGCATGATTCTAATACTCCATAGATGTGGTTTGATGCTCAACTAATAAAGCTTATTATTTTCATATCAATGCCCATTTTGTAACCTACATATGCTCATTTGATACTGATATTATGCTCATTTTAAAATGTCATATCAATGTTTATTTCAAATCTTAAGAGTTGATTATAGATAATTAGATATAATTTAGATTTTTTATAATAAACAAAATAAGAAAAATGAAGTGAATTAGAAAATATAAACCATATATCATGATGCTCAATATTAGCCTCATAATACTCAACATAATAAGTCTGGTGCTCATACCAATACCAGGTGAGCATACTAACTTACAAAATGAGCATCGAAAAATTCAATAGTCTGATGTTCAAAAATTCATTTGTGTACGCTCATTTCTTTTAATCGTTATATTATTCATTTCTATAATATGTACATGTAGTTGACACATAATTAACAATTTACTAAATTATCATTATATATAACAATGTGATATATAAGAATTTTATATTAAAAATATTTTATAGTCTTTCTTTCTTGAATTAAAAATATAATCATGTTCTTCTTATAATATTTACTTATGCAGATTTGTTTAACATAATACTCATTTTAGTATAAGACAAAACTCATAATAGTAATTAGAACACAATAAGTGAGAAATAATAAATATTCATCTTAAAATTTAAAAAAGAAAAATTGAAGTTATTAACTAAAATATTTTATAATGTACAAATTTACAAAAATTAGGTTAGGAGGTTGATTTGAAAAAGTAAAAGTTGTTAAAGCAAAAAAAAGAGAAAAAAAGAAACAGGAAAGCAATGAAACGTAATAATAAGAGAAAAAAAGAGGCAGGAAAGCAAATTTTGTCAATGAAAAAAGGGAAAAGGTGCAAATAGGCCCATGTACTATCAAAAAAAGGTCAAATAAGCCCTTATTTAGGAGGCTCTGTCCGGTCATCACCATTTGGGGTGGTTCCCAGTAGAAGTTTTTGATGAAATTTTTTGAGCATCTTAATCATCAAGTCTAGTTTACGCATACCAAATTTCAGCTAAAAGTTCAATCGGGAAGGCATTCAAATGAATTCTTGAAAATAACTGCGTAGTTTGAATCGCAGTTATCTTCAAAAATTCATTTGAATACCTTCCCGATTTAAGTTTTAGCTAAAATTTGGTATGAGTAAACTAGACTTGATAAATAAGATGCTCAAAAAATTTCATCAAAAAATTCCAACGGAAAACACACCAAATGACGACGGCCGGTCAGAGCCTCCTAAATAAGGGTTTATTTGATCTTTTTTTGGTTAGTACATGGACCTATTTGCACCTTTTCCCATGAAAAAAATGAAAAAGACAGAAGCAGAAAGCAAGGGAACGGAAGAATAAGAGAGAGAGAATCCGAGAAACAATCGGAAAAAGAAGCAAGAACGAAGCAGCAACGTCGTTGAAGCGGAAAAGAAAGAAATTTATCGGGGAAGGAGATAAGACCAAAGGATTAAAGGGGCTGAAGTTGATGGGAATTACAAATTTATCGGGCCGTAAGGTGCTCACGTGATTCTAGCCATCTATGTAGATCTCTTTGCAGTTTCCGGTTAAAATGGAACCATAATCGCTCATTTTTTAATCGAAACCGGAACGAGAATCGCATAGTCCTTCACTCCTTCCGATTTAGAACTCGATGTTTACTACAGTTGGAACTTCTTTTATAATTAATTAATTGATTAATTAATAATGATGATGATGTTGATGATGATGACGATGACGACCATAATAACAATAACAATAATAATAATAATAATAATAATAATGGTGGTGGTGGTGGTGGACGGGTGGTGATGATAGAAATAAGAATTATAATGGTTACTATTTATGGGGTATTAGTTATTACTAGTTAAAATACATTTTTATTAAAATTATTGGTAATAAATATATATAATTAATTAATAACTAAAATATTTTAAAACACTAGATTTTGGGTTTTACAACCTAATTTATAAATTCTAACCACTTATTTTAGTTAGCTACTTAGATTGTAGCTTAATTTATAATTCTTAGTTAGACTGTAGGTATTAACTACCAGTTGTTATACCGTGGGAGCAGCCCACCGTGAGCATGCTGTTCCCACAGACAAAAATACGTGTGTTACTGTTCACGCGTGAACAATAACTTATTTTTTGTTTTTCCAGTGTCCAGTAGCAGAGTAATGTAACTCGCGTGTAAAGAAATGTAACTCACGCTGATCAGAAATGTAACTGCAGACGAGTCCAAATGTAACTTGTCTAATACGAACTATAAGAAATAAAACATTGATTTTCTTGAAACAATGAGTCTAATTGCTCAATTACTTTACGTAAATAGTGAATATGTTTTGTTTTTAATATTAAGACCATAAATAATTTTTTCCCTTAAAATCAGTTTTTTTTTTGCAAAAAAATCATTTTTCCGCCATTTTTTCCCTTGCAAAAAACTCGTTTTTTTGTTTCAATAGCATGTGTTTACTTAAATAGTGAATATGTTCTGCCAAAAAATATTTTTTTTAAATCATTTTTTTGCTAAAGAAATCATTTTTTGCCTTGTTTGGCAAAAAATGATTTTTTTGTTTCAATAGTAGAGCTTTATGTTGCGATGTAACTTATGTTATAGAAAATGTAACTCACGTTGATGAAAAATCTAACTTAGGTCAATGTAAAATGTAACTTGTTAAGGTAAGTCCAAATGTAACTCGTGTAAAGGAATATGTACCTCACGCATAAAAAGATGTAACCTGCGCATAAGAAGATGTAACTTCATATACTATCAAATGTAAACAATGAAAACATGAAGTCTAATTGCTTAAAAAAATTTAACGTAAATAGTTAGTATGTTTTGTTTTTTGTATTAAGGCCATAAAAATGTTTCAAAGAAAAATAATATTTTTTTCCACAAATATTAATTTTTTTTGCCGCAAAATCATTTTTTTCCAAAAAAAATCATTTTTGTTTGCAAATAAAATTATTTTTTGGTTTCAATGGATGGATTTATTTCATGATGTAACTCGTGTTATGAAAACATGTAACTCATGCTAAAAAATCTAAATTAGGTGTATGCAAAATATAGCTTGTTGAGGCAAGTCTATATGTAACTCGTGTATAAGAAGATGTAACTCATGGACAACAAGATGTAATTCGCCTATAAAAAGATGCAACTTCATATAATATCACATGTAATTCCATAAATTGGCTATAAACATAACTCACACATATGAAAAACGTAATATAATTCATGTTTTATGAAATTTAAATCGAAAAAACAAATTTTATGTCTTAAAAAAACTAAAAACATATCAAAGAGATAAGAAATATATTTTTTTTATAAAGAGATAAAGAAATATATTATATAAAAAAAATTATGAACATGAAGATACAGAATTTTTTTAGATGAATTATTATGTATTGATAAAGAATAAAAAATAGATTCAATTATAATTTAAGATGAACATAAAGAAAGTAGGATTGCAATTAAATTTTTAGTATTTTAATTTGATAGAAAAAGAAAAGAATTGAACAAAAGATAAAAAAGAAAAGCAAAGGAAAAGGAAATAACAAAGTTGGAGACAAAGGAAGTGGGAAAAGGAAAACAACGTAACTTTCCTAAAAGTGGGATCGGCACACCATGCGGAAGGTGAGCCGATCCCACGATATAATTTGCGATTAACTACTCCGTATCTTATTATTGTACTTAGTTTTTTTACTAATCACACATTTAATTTATTTTATTAAATACAGAACATTACCTTTATTATTATTGTATTATTTCATTTATTATAATTAAACATTAGAAAATAATCAGAAACATAAAACAAATTATTTCATTTAATTATAACAATGGTAGATATTAGTTCATCTAATAACTCTTAGGGAACCTCTTTATTAATTTATTTAAAAAAATTAATTGAACTTTAATATCTAAATAAAAGAAGGGGTAATTTGAGTTTGCACCCAATATTGTTGTCCAAATTAAACTTTGCACCCCGTTTTTAAAAATCTTTGTTTTTGCACCTCAACCCCATATGACAAGACAAAAATGCCCTCGATTAGGAATATGTTGAAGGCCAACAGAATTGTTAATGGAGGGGCGTTTTTGTCTTTTCACATGAGGTTGGGGTGCAAAAACAAAGATTTTTAAAAACGGGATGAAAAGTTCAATTTGGACAATAAAATGAGGTGCAAACTCAAATTATCCCATAAAAGAATTAGACTCGAAACTGAACCGATAGGAACCGGTACCGCTGAATTTATTTTAGAACTAGTACTGCGATATTGTGGTTCTAGTTTTTCAAAATTTGAAACCCGGGCTGTTCGTTTCCAAGTGTAGTTCAGTTCGGAACAGGGGACACACCTACAGGCCGCGATGCAAAACTATAAACTGCAGTAAAACTTTTGCGAATCGTAGGCTCGCCACAGCAACCTTAGTCCTCGTGACTAAAGTGCTGCTTTACCGGATATTTCGCCCCGCCTTAAGGCGGGAATTCTCTCTTTTTTCACACGCTACACAGCCCAGCAAACCAACTGCTTTTTAGGCAGAGTCGAAACTTCCTATAAGTTCCCTTCCCAGCAATCCCAGTCCATCCCCTACCATCCTCTGAGCTCGGTAAGCAATGGAAGACCCTTCACCAACACCAAGACATGATGAGATCAAAGAAATCCATAAGATATCAGCTGTCATATTTGATTTGGATGGTACCCTTTTGAACACAGGTTCTGCATTTCCTCTACTCACTTGTTTCATGCAAATATATTTTGTGTTGGCTTCTATCCGCTTGAAATGTTTTTATTTTCTTGGATTTGTGAATTTCGGGTTACAGAGCAGGTGACAAAGGCTGTGTTTAAGGATTTTTTGGCTAAATTTGGGAAAGTCCCAGATAGGGAGAAGGAAACTAAAAGGCTGGGGTTGGTTCAGAGAGAGGCTGTCAGTTCCATAATCAAAGACTATGATCTCCCGCTGACACCTGATCAGTATATAAAGGATATCTTACCCTTACATCTTGGAAAGTGAGTATATTCTCTTCTCTGTATGACTTATCTTTCATAGCTTTATGGATTTGTTTATAGCTACTGTTAAGTGTAAGTTATTACGTAGCATTATGAAATCAATAGTTTTTTGGGGGAGAATGACAATTTAAAATCATCTAGATACTGTAATATAGTGAATTAAGTGCCTCCATGGTTGGCATATCCACTTTAGTCCTTGAATTGTCCCGGAAGTGGTAGTTTTCACCATCGGTCCTGTAGAAAAGTTGAGATATAATGGTCACCAAAATCTTTTTTCACCTTAAATGATTGAAAGTGCTAAAACTACCATTTTGGTAACACTTAAAGGTTATGTTAAGAATGCACAAACAAGATCCAGTCGAGAGAAACAAGATTCGTGAGCATTAAATAAAGTTGTGCTTGTTGCTAAACTAATTGATGCTGACCTTGTCAAGAGATACAAATGAGTTCTCCAAAAAGTAATTTATTCCATAACAAAAAAGGCATAATTACAGAGCTGATATATAACTCAAAAGGGAATGGCTCACTGAACTAGAATGAGGAAGTATAGTACTAAATACTAATAGGAAACAATAACTTTATCTCCAAGTTTAACCCCTTTCGGTTTTTGGCTGCTCAGCTCTTGGGCGCCTTTTGTGTAGGCTGTGCTTGTGGCCCCAAAAGGAGTTTACAACAAGTTTCCATATCCATGAGATGGAGACTAAAGTTATTACTATTGTGACAATCTATGAGGTAAAAGTGGATAATTCGATGTCATTTGTGTATCCACTTTAGTCCTTGAATTGTCCCAAAAGATGTAATTTTTCGTCCTTTGTCTCGTACAAACATTACTAATCAAACAGTTGAATGAAAAAAGATCAATCAGTGCTTTGTTAATAGCAGATTGGAATTGCAAACAATTTCTTTCCTTAACTGCATTCAGCATATTTTGTCCTTGATTCAGAACAAAGCTTCCAGAAAAACACTATCCCTATCTGCTAAACAAATTCGGATGGTATCATGGATAATCCAATAAAAATCAGTGGTTATCTGATAATTGATCAAAACTGTATATAAGATAACTTCTTAATTTGACTAATAGTGCTCAAACTAAAATTTCAGTTACAACTGGAAGTTAATGTTTTCATGAGAGGAAATACTCAATTTGCCACCTTTATGTTAATTTAAGGACTAAAATTGGATACGTCGACAGTTGAGGGACTGAGTTCATTATATCACCATAACGAGAATACGAGAGTACCAAATATGAAGAAGATTATATATGTAGAATTAATTAGCACACAACATATTTTGAAGTTTTCAATGAATTAGCTAAATTTGCATTTCACTTATTTGTCATGTGGGTTTTTTCTATCAAGGTAGATAATACTGTGTATAATTCATCATGAATCTAATATGTCTGAAGTAGATAAATTTTCATTCACGGTTGTTGAGCTCTCCTAATCTCCGTTTTGCCAGCTACAATTTCCTTATAACTCTAGCATTGTATCACTGGTATTCTCTTTAGGGTCTGTTTGGATGAGGATTTTTGTAGGAAAGACTTTTGAAGGCTTAGTCATATATCTTCACACACATATGATTATATCAAATATGAAAGATCATTAACATAGTGTATAATCGTAGAGCATTTCAATCTCCTTTTATTGGTTTTTAGAAATATTTTAATTATGAAGGAATAGACTACAAATATTCACTCCAAATCCGTTTCCTCCAAACCCCTTAAAACTCCTCATACAAACAGACCCTTTAGAGTGTATGACTATCTCTTTGTATTCCATGTTCATGAAAAAGTCCCACAGTTACTGCATAAAAGATATTTATGGCTTGATCTTCATTTTATCACTTCCTCCATAGAGAGGATTGACATCTGACCGTAACTGAGCAATGACTCAATGAGCATGTGAACTCAAAGCATATTTCACCATACATGAAGTTCTTTCACTTTTTAATCATTCTTTGAGTTTTATGTTGCCAAAGATCAACTGTACTTTAGTTTCATGCATATACTGTTCATTGGATTGTTACTATCAACATATTTTTTGTAAGGTGGGCGCTAGCTAAACCACTTCCTGGAGCCAACCGCCTTATGAGTCATCTCCATAAGAAAGGAGTTCCATTTGCACTTGCTTCGAATTCCGTAAGGAGAAACATTGAGGGGAAACTCTCGTACCATGAAGGTTGTGTTTTGACTTCTTAACACTGTAAATAGTTCAGCTTTTTCTCAAGGGGTCAGTTTGGATTGAGAGTTCTGCAGGGTTTGATTGACTAAGTCCATATCTTGGTATATATGTGAGGCTCTTAAAATTGAAAATATAGCATCATATGTGATATATATAGCTACCTATTCTTTTCTTCTAGCCTGATATCAACTTTTTATTATGGATGTGAACTTTGTGATTGCTTCTCCTAATTAAAAGGATCGCCTTTTATTTATCATGAAGTGATGTCAGTTCAGTTAAACCATGTATTTTCTATTCAATTTGATGAGATGTTTTATCTTTCCTTATAAAAACACATTCTTTTATTCCACAGGCTGGAAAGAACGCTTTGCGGTGATTCTCGGAAGTGACCAAGTTAGATTAGGGAAACCTGCCCCAGACATGTATGTTGAGATGGTTAAATATTCATGATTCTTCTAGATTGTGTAGTTACCTTTATGGGACACATAGATGAAGTCATTTTTTTGTTATCTTCTGCTCAGATTTCGTGAAGCTGCAAAGAGGATGAACGTAGATGCAGCAAACTGTCTTGTGATAGAGGACTCCATGTAAGCTTTCCTTCATACTATTCCTTATAGCTACTTATTTTCTTCTTGGGGCGGGGGCGGGGGTATAATTATATTCAAACCAAACCATTTCATAAAGATCAATTGAGATTAGACCAGGCAGATGTTGTATATCAGACAAGAAAGACTTGACCCAGACCAGATCTTAAAACAATTCATATTAGATTTATCTATTTATTTCGGGCTAAGAGAATAAATAGGTCATTACTAACCGGAATGTGGAAAGTTGTAAATTTTCATTGTAATTTTTACAGAGTTGGAGTCAAAGCAGCAAAAGCTGCTGGAATGAAGGTAGTTGCTGTGCCATCAGTAAATATTGGAATCCATCAGTTTTCTGTTGCTGATTATGTGCTTCATTCCATTCTTGAGTTACAGCCTGAAATTTGGGGTCTTCCACCGTTTGCGGACTGTATGTATGCTCACCCCCTACATAGATATCCACCTTCGCTGCTTATACTCACGGTTTTCTTGCTTGGATCTGACTTTTATCGGGTTTTTTGTAATTATTATTGCAGTGGTAGATAATGTGTTGCCAGTTGAACCCATTTCTTTCAAAGGCTTCTACAGCAATGGACTTCTCCATGAATCCACAGGTTTATGAGTCTATATACATATGGAGAGAGGATCAACTTAGAAATTCTCACTCGTGAAATATTACTTATAGTAACAAAGTTTTTAACTTTTATGACAAATCATATAACTTGTTTTCATTTTTACTTTTAGTATTTATAGTAAAAAAAGTAGATTAGAAGTTTCAACATTCGTGTTAAAAGTTATATTCATTTCTCATGTGATCTTTTTCCTATATGTGTATCTAATGAATGTTGATGTTTGTAGATGATATGTTGGCTGGTCTGCCTGATCAAGTTTTCGGGATTTATATGGGATGGGCAAAAATCTACTCAAACAAGTTACTTAAGATTGTTGTCAGCATTGGATGGGAAAATAATAACTGTAGTTTAGAAAGGCATATTGTGAGTAGAAAACAAAACGGCCTGGTTATACCTTATTCATGTTTTTTTGTTTTTTTTTTCTTGGACATTAGTTGAAATGGTATGCCTTTACAGAAAGCATTTTTACCTGAGGGAAATGATGAGAATGTCAATGATTGCGAGATGGAGCTTGTTTTAGTGGGATATATCAGAGGATCATATGGGAAGGTAATAATCGACTCTGCACATTCCATTAGTCTGTTGAAAGTTATCGTTGGTACAAAGGAAAGAAAAGATGCATCATAATGGGTTGTTACAATGTGCAGGAAACAACTTATGCTCTTGACATTCTTGATGAAGACAAATGTGCAGCAAGATCTGCTTTTTGCCAACAGGAATTTTCAGTTGATGCTTGTATGTCCTTATTTCAGCAGATTAATGGGTGAACAGATGATTTGGAGGACATCAGATTCTTAATGTGTGTTCTTTTACATGTATATACATATAGTCTGATCATAAGAAGAAGCATTTTCAGTGTATTTGTTTTGAACTACCCTCAGTCCCAAAAGAGTGTCAAGGATAAGGTATATGTGAATAATGTGATAAAGCTATTGAAGCAAAGCAAATATATTTTAAGTTGCAGCAGTATTTCTTCTAAATTAAAAAATTATACATTGCATAGATTCATTTTAGATGGATGGTAGTCGATAATCTGTCCTAAATAAATCCCCGCAATAATTTTGACACATAGTTTAAGTAAAGCAATTTTCAGTCAGCAACTCAACACTTATTACCCTACCCCCATGGCCCCATCACTTAGGATGTTTTTACTTGGACGGTGTTTAGCCCCAGACCAGATCAGACTTCAACAGACTAGACCAAACTTCAGCAAACCAGAACAGACCAGACTTACATAGTTACAAAATACATAGAGACTATACATTTTACCAGACAATTCAAACCTGATAGATCAGACCGGATCAAACTAGCAAATTTCAATCTAAGTAAAAACATCCTTATAGAAACAACTACAAATCCATAGCATATGTGGAGCCATTCTTATTTAATTTTTAAATCATACAGATTCCTTTGAAATAGAAAGAAGAACTAATTTTAATGTTTGAGTTCTTACTACTTCTGAGTTCTGAATGAGTCCTTCATCATCGTCTTTAGGTTGCTGTTGGATGAGACACTAATGTTGTTTGAGGGAGAGAATGGAAAATGGCAGAGAACTCGTGCAAGATAGAGCCTTTTCGGAGGTGAGTGGTGTAAAAAAGACCTCTACTACAAAGCCAGGCTGTTTTACTTGGTATACTGGCTCAACTCGGGATGAGCGAAATCGGCATCTGGGGGGTACATATGTATCAACTGTTGGTCTCAACTGGGCACACAGTTGGATATCCCCATGCACGGGATCTGAGAGGAAGGTTCTGATGAGGTCCCTGCTGATGGGGGCACCCTCATCCACAGCAACAAGTGCCTGCTGGGTGAGATTATAGTCGAAACAAGGAGCCCATTTCCTTGACCCCAGATGTGGCTTTCACTGCCTGTGGCTACATATTCATATCCATCATACAAGATATCCATACACGGATAATGTGAAGCAGTATATGCATAAATTCTGTCTTTCCATCTTCACTCAATGAGTTGTACGCATCCAACATTCCCTCATAGTCCGGATAATATGAAGCAGTATAGCATTCTTAATCCGGTTTTCATGAACGCATGAAACATGTTGAAATGGATCAGTTTGCTAGCGGGGGACATTCAATCTCAGCCCGTTTTCACGTCTAATCAAGTAGCAAACCTTTTCAGCAAGACTCTTGGGGTGGACCACTTTCAATTCCAAGCAAGTTGAATGTTTGGATTCTTCACAATTGTTTCCTCATTAAGATTCATTATCATTGTGATATTGTTTCTTTTTTATATTGTTTCCTCATTATCATTATTTGGTCGTATTCCCATCAGAACTCTTTCCCAACTTGTGTAGAGGCTTTGTCCAAACATCTTTCATTAATCACTCACTATAACAAACTTCAAAACTCAAAAGATTGATATTTCACAATAAAATTGAGAAATATCTATAAAAATCACGCTTTGATTAAAAGTTTTAAAACTTTTTTTCAGTTCCAAAATACAATTCAAACTGGAGAAAGTGTTTTATGGGTTTTTGCATATATTTCAAAATATGGTATATAAAAGGTTTTTTAATGTTATTTTAATAATAATTTTTTCCCTAATAAACTAGTTTTCCACTTGTGAGGCTCCTCCAAAATTCATAAATCATACTCTCTTCGTCTCAAAAACATTCCCAAAATTGACTATTCTTGATCAATGCTAGTCAACTTTGACTAATGATATTTTTTAACAAAAAAATACTTTGAATGTGAAAATTATATTAAAATGTTCCTCATTAAAAATATTTTTATAAAAAGTATAAAATCTATAAATTATATACAAATATATTAATTAAAATAAGTATCCAAAATTTGCCATCATTGAGTAAGAAAAATCAATATGACAAACTTTTTTGGGACGGTGGTACTATTATGCAAAACTAGGATTTTGCTCCTCTACAGTAACTGGAATGGTCCAGTAGGAGAGAGATAGAGAGAGGTGGGGAAAAGAAAAAGAAAAGATTATGTTTAATTATTATTTTTAAGGAGAGATAGAGTGGAAAAAAAATGGAGGGAGTAAATGGAGAGAAGGAAATGGAAAGGAGTATGACCCGCAAAACTAAGATCCTAGTTTTGCATAACAGTACCACATGCATGGGCGGAGCTAGGGGTGGGCCAACCTAGGCCATGGCCCACCCCAAATTTTAAACATGGCTTAATTTTTAAGGTAAAATATTTCGTGTAAATTTTTTTCTAAAAATATTCTTTGTACCGGCCCAGTCCGGTCCAGTGTCCTGGCTCCGCCCCTAACCACATGCTTGATCCAAACACACATGCTCACTCCAACCTAAGAGCCCAGGCCTTTCTTGATCCAAACACACATGCTCACTCCAACCCAATATTCTTATAGTACCTTAACAAATCAAAATCAAGCAAAAATATAGGTTCTATCCCATATTACCTTTGTTCCAAAAATGAATTTTCAATTTTTTTATTTAGGTGTCTCAAAATATACAATTATCCTTACTTTCTACTTAATTTGATATAAAGTAGGTGTATGGTTTGGAATTCAAAGAAAAGTTTTATCTTACATAAATAAATATATGTGCAAATCAAACTATGCAATTGTTTCGGGACGGAAGAAGTACATGTTTGATCACTCATTGTCATTCATATTCTGGACTTTGGGACTATTTTATATAAATGGAACTTTCTTACGTTTTCATTAAAATAGATACAAGGCTCATTGTAACCATTTAAACTTGACAAAATTGTACTTATTTTATTCTCCAATAAAAAACATTTATAAGACATGGTATGGAAAATTCCTGAAATATGAGTAAAAACATTTTGAAATTTCAAAAATATGAATACTATGTTATAATTCTCTAGATATGAGTACTTACCATCAAGTTTAGATAATAATATTATGTTTAAAGTCTGATAATGCCAAAACATAGCAATCATCACTTTTATTTAGGAGATAAAAACATAGTAATTCTATTTAAAATCCACATATGTTTTTACTCCTTTTTACGGCAATTTCTTATATGGTACCCAATTACCCATTTAAACTTGAAAATTTTGTTCGTTAATATTATAGGACTAAAACTCAACTTCTTTTGAAAATATGACTTCCTAGTTTTTATTCATCATGTAGGACTAATATGATCCAATGTTTAAAAGTGTAATAATATTAGTCTAACACACTTGGTGTTTAAAGTTCTCCAATCTCTTTTAAATTTTAGGTTAGTCTTTGAAGGGTTTAGTGATGGCTGTCTGATAGAGAAGAAAGCTGGGATTATTATTTTTAGTTATTCTTAAAAATCAAAGTGATGCAACTATTTAACAATGGAGGAAGTACATTTTTCTTTTAAGAGAATTTTATGGTCCATATTTTTCTCTAATAAACATCGGTAACACATTTCCACTATCCTAAGCCGTATACAAATCAAGCAAATATAACGGTTTTAGTACAATGGTTATAATAATGAGATAAAATTCCATAATCGTCCATTTTCATAAACCAGACGTTCATGAATTCAGATAGTTGTCCTAGATGACACTTGTATATAAAAGACTGATTTTCTGGCAGCAGACAAGCGATCATTGTTAAATATAATACGCAGTACATGTATAAATAAGTCTTCTCCTGATGGTTCCCTCACAGTTTTATTAAATACTCCGATATATAAAAAGCATTGTACAAAAAAACATCAGAGAATCGAACTCAGCAATAAGCCTAGCCGGTGTTTTGCATTCCAGCAGCAATGCCTTTCATGGTCAAGATGAGAGTGTCTTCCAGCCCAGGAGCATATTCACTTGTAGGATTGAGCTTCACCAACTCAGCAGCCGATTTGCTCGACTCTGTTATCTCCTTGGACAGATGGGGCCTCACCTTCACATTGTAGCTCGGGTCACGGACCCGCTTCAGTGTGTATGCTTGACACGCATTGAGTGTGGTGATATAGGAATCACGGAGCTTGAGTCGCTGCCTCAAGTAGGGGTCCCCTTCAAGAAGATCCTTGTGCCCAGCAACCTAATTCAGAAGAAGATAGTTCAGACTGTGGATGCAAAAATCAATACGTGACTGAAGGGCTCCAATTTTTCAAAGTAGCTCAATAATAATCTGAAATATGAGTCTCAGCTGGGGGTGGACCTGGTCTCACTCCGAAACAGTTACGATTACTCAGAATATGACAGGACCAGATTCTGGTCCTGCTATTTTAAAAGCTAAACCCCCATCAAAACCAAGCCAAAAAAAGCGGAGTGTAATTGTCCAGGTAAACCTGGCCACCTATACCCAGTTGGGCTTATGGGTAACCTCTTTAAAGGTCTTGGAACCCGAAGAAGACTATGTCCATGTCTAGTCTCAACCATTTGAACTACTACCTCCGTCACACTAAAATTGAGACATGAAGATGTGTCCCAAATCCAAATTATGATGAAAAGTGATATAATGTGGTTGACATTGAATTTGTAAATTCTGAATGAAGTAAAAAGCACAAATACTACTGTGATATGGGGCAAACTTAGTGAGATGGACAAAAAGAAAGAGTGGGATCAAGATAGTGGCACGTAGGGGTAGTGAATAAGGTATGTGAAATCATTTCTTATGTAGGGTGATAGGTGGGGTGGGTAAATTCACAATGTAGCATACGTTAACCCCTAGTGCATAGCTTAGTCGAGCGCCTAACAGGCACCCTGTCGCCATACACATAAAATACCTAAATAAATTTAGAAAAAAACATGAATGACAAATTATAGCGATAGATGTCTACTATTTCTATAAAACCTTCAAAAAAGTGGGATGAGATTACTAATTTTTGCAGTGGTTATGATGTGAAATATCCTGTACAACTGTGTCGCAGCCAAAGAGAGTAATCGTACCTGAAGGAGAAAGCTTTTGGTCAGTTCGTACTTGGCCCTTAGCTGGTCTCCAAGTGGCCACAAATCAGCAGACACTAAAAGCTTGTCGTACATAGCAGCAATATCCGGGTCACCTTTTGCAAAGACCATTTCAACCAAGTCAAGTGTGACTCTAAAGAAGGGCCATTCCCTGTACATGTCTCTGAGCATTTGGAGGTTCCTGATATCCTTCTCAATAACATGCTTAAAAGCATCCCCAAAGCCAAGCCAAACTGGCAGATGAAACCTTGTCTGAGTCCAAGCAAAGATCCAAGGGATTGCTCGTAGTGATTCGATTCCACCACTTGGTTTCCTTTTTGCAGGCCGACTCCCGATATTCATACGCCCGTATTCCAACTCTGGTGTTGCCTGCATTGTTATTACAAAAATATATATTTTCCATTACGTGAAAGCTTAACAAGCAAATCATGTTACACTTTGAAAATCACTTTTTCATTCCCACATTTGGCAATCGACTTCAATTTTCCTACATTTGGCGCATTTTATGGATACTTGCAACTTTTGGTCCTTTCCAGTTAATTATCCAATGAAAACCGACTACAAATTGACCGCATAACTTATCCGGAGGGCAAGAAAATACAAGAAATCAGAGCCATGCACCAAAGGTGAGAAAATCAAAGTTGAGGATCATTGAAAATGGCTCACTAAACTGTCTGAGCTTCTTTGTTATAAAGTATCAGTCACTCCATGCAATTTTCGACACGATTTTCATCATGGATCATCCAGAGACTGTCTTTATGTGTTGTAGTACAGGGGTAAGGCTACGTACATCCGACACCCCTTACCTCACGTTAGGTGGAAGTCTTTGTGGCACCGGGGTAATGTTGTTGTTGATCATTAGTGGGATGGCTTAATAGTCTTTAAAACAAAAATGGAAAGGAAAAAAAAAGAAACCAGGTAGCAAATATGGAAAAAGCAAAAGTCGTGGACCAATAGAGGGAACTTGATTTCTTATACTTACGAGGCGGAAGTATTCAACAAAGCGTGGATCCTGGAAGACCACAGATCGATACTCTTTAGTGGCAATAACTGACATCTGATCCAGAAGTGCACGCCATTCCGGTTTTGGTGAAACTGGCGGATGCATCCCGTGCTCAAGTGTGGCCGCAGTGAACCTCTGCAGTGTTCTGAAACACAAGTGTTCTTCCCCAAAAGACTGCTCAATGACTTCACCTTGAACTGTCACACGCAGTGAGCCATGTATGGTATCTGGCGGCTGTGATAAGATAGCAAGATGGGTGGGACCACCTCCCCTTCCAACAGTTCCTCCCCTTCCATGAAACATTGTCAACTTAACCCCATACTCTTTTGCTACCTTCACTAGCTCCTCTTGAGTCTTGTACAGTTGCCAAGCCGCAGAGAGCCGGCCTGCATCCTTACCAGAATCTGAATACCCGATCATGACCTCTTGCTTCCCCTTGATCCGATTCATGTACCAGTCGATTGAGAACAAGCGGGCCACGGCTGCGGGGGCTGCCTCCAGGTCACCAAGTTTCTCAAAGAGTGGGACCACCCTTAAGGGCTCCGTGACGTGGCACTCTCTTTGCAAGAGTTCTACGGCAAGCACGTCGGATGGGGCCGTGGCCATTGAGATGATGTACGCACCAAAATTGTCGGACGGGAGCTCGGAAAGCACATGGAAAGTGTCCAGCACGTCAGCAATTTCTTCAGTTTTAGGGAGGTCGGGGCCAAAAAGAGGGCGTTTCCCGCTGAGTTCAGATAACAGCCATTCCTGTCTGCGCTCTTCAGCCCATTCCTTGTAGGATCCTATCCCTAGATGCGTTGTGATGGCATCAAGGACATCCGTGTGCCTGTCTGATTCTTGACGGATATCAAGTCTCACAAGTGAGAGACCAAAGGTGGAAACTTGCCTCAGGAAATCAAGAAGGCTTCCATCAGCTATTGCACGGTCACCACAAGCGCATAGTGATCTATAGCACAACTCAAGAGGCTCCAAAAACTGAAAGTACCAAAAACAGCAAGTCATATTTAGTCAAACTGGAGTTTTCTTAAGGGTATGTTTGGATCCTGGAAAGCCAAGGAATTTTCTTATGGCAGACAGTTATTTAACAAATTTTCTTAAGTTAATGAAACTGAAACACGGTTATTTTTATTCAGATTTACACATGTTTGGATTAAATGAATAACAACTCATCTAAATTAAATTGACTGCGATTTAGCCCATCTTTTATTTTCCCTCAAATTCTTTTCTTCCAATGTATTCAATGTTTCCCTTCATGTTATCCTTCCCTGGTATTGACTATTGTCCATGATCCAATCAAACCCTAAAGATGAAAACAGCTTCTCTAGTAACAAGTTAAGCTAAAATTATGAAGGGAGTGCTCTTGGGAACAACAACAACAACAATAACGAAGCATCATGGTAAGGTTCACGAAGGAGAAACCTGTTCAACATTAATGAATGCAGTCTCTTCAGGAATATCAGAGATCCCATTTGCCAGCAACTGGCGAGCACGCTCTCGAGTACCATACAGCTTGTCTCTAACATCAGCAAGAATGACTCTATAAGGCTCATTTGGTGGAATTTGCTTCCAGAATTCTGCATAAAAATGGAGTTTTAAAAGCTAGAAAGTCAAAGCATAACTAAAACAAGACTACCGGAATGGTCATATGTGAATCTATAATCTCAAAAGCTTAAAAAGAAACAAACTTTAGAAGAAATATGCATACCAATATAATGTTTAACATCTCTTTTTGAAGTCCGATGCAGTTCATCTGCACGAGCCCGCAACTCTTCACTGCAGCGCCACATGGAAAGCTACAAAAACCAACATAGAGCACAGCAAAAGATAATTATCAGGAACAAAGGCAGTTAATTAGTGAGGTTCCGCCCTAAAAATAAACCAATAAAGTGTGTATTTTACAAGATATGTCACCTACTCAAGCATACCTCAAACATAAGATCCTCAATCTGAGAGAAGTACAAATTAGCAGCCATCATTCTAGCCAACAAGCATACATCCCTTGTAACTTCAGGAGTCACTCTAGGGTTTCCTGTCAATCCAATACAGATTTCAGATGGGTTAACAAAAATTCATACAATTAGATACTGTCGGATAGGAAATAAAAAGAATTACATATATGCAAGACATTCACAGGGAAACCAGATAAAGTTACATAGTATATGCCACTGAAACTAAATGTGATCTATACCCTTCAGTCTTTAATTTTTAGGAGATATTGTTTCTAGACTATGACATCCATGAAAGAAGTACTATTTAAAATAAAACAAAGAAAAAGCACTTAAATGACAAACTCAAAGAAGATACTCCTAGACACAATAATGATCAGTAGCAGTAAGTTGGAGTACCATCTCGATCCCCTCCCATCCAAGATGAGAACTGAATAAGAGGAGCATTGTAAGGAACGCGCTCATTTATTCCAATATTCTTCAACGCTGTGTCAACTCGGCGTAAGAACTTTGGAACTCCTTTCCATATTGTTTCATGAAAGTAACTCATTCCTGCCCTCATCTCATCTTGTGGGGTTGGAGGAGTCCTCCTTATTTCATCTGTCCGAAATGCTGCTTGTATCTGTCATATACATATACATATACCATATTGTGATGCAAATGTGATGTCACCGCAAACAATTATAGATAACGTAAAGAAATGAAAAAAATATATTCCTCTAAATATTTTAATACTAGTTAAAAAGGATCCGGTTCGACCAAGGAACATTATTTTATTTTTAAAGTACAATTGACATAAATCATAAATGTATTTACTTCTGAGAAACTTTTTATTGGTTTACTCAAATTGATCATAAACTTATTTGTTATGTTATTTTGGCTGTATTCTTAAAAAATTGTCCACATTTGATTAAAAAGGGCTCTTCTTTGGGACAAAAGGCTATAAAGCCGGAAGAAGTACGAATTATCAAATACTCCATAAAAAGTAGAAGACTTTATAGAGCTTAACATATAAAACTAGAAAATGGAATGACATGGTCAACCGCATACCTCTCTCTGCAGAGCCTCATCAAGCTCATGTTTATCATCTGGAGTGATATCTTTTGCATACAGTTGTGTCAAACAATTCCGGATCCTGCAAAAAGAATAACAGCGGTTTATAGTGACACTGTATGGACCTTTTTCTTCATGGGAGAAAAGTCAGTACGCAAGTAAAATTATATGCCAAATCTACTTTTTAGAACAACTTAAGGGCCCATTTTTAATGGACAAGCGTTTGGTAAGATAAATTTCAGACAAATACACAAGTGAAAAGATACTTAAACTGCCTACCAAACGAGGCCTATTATAAAGGGACAAGGATCTGGACAGATAAACTTAGTAGAGTACAGTGTGAAACCTTCCATGCTTTTGAAGCAATGATCTGCGAACAGACTGAGTAGGGTGTGCTGTTAAGACAAGATCAATCGTCTGGTTCTTCAAAGCATCAAAAACTTCTTGAGGGGATTTGTTAAGTTGCCCGACAAGCCGCCTGAGTGTTTCTTCAATGTCTGATTCAGTAGCTGCTGATGCCTCGTCAGACAGGTCATGTTTCTTTAACTTAATCCTACGCCTGTAAGCTATCTGAACTTCCTCGGCAAGGTTGGCCAAGTTAAGCATGTTGGAAAAAGCTTTAGTAACTACTATTGAATCCCCAGCATCCAAACTAGTAAGCACTCTCCCAAGCTCTTCCAACTTCTGAGTATTATGCTTCCCTTCATACTCTGCTGACAGCTCATAACACTCTTGAACCTATTATACATAATTATAATTATAATGAATAAAAACATCAGTAAATGACTTCACTTTTCAGTAGAAATACTTTTTAGTGTCGAAAAAAATGCTTTTGAGACCTCAGCTCCTCCAAAAGTATTTCTACCAAAAGAAATCCCCTAGCTGATGCACAGAAAATGTTTAAAAGGAAGAGTAAAACATGTCTAGGAAAGTGGTACCACAGTCTAGAAGAGTAAACTATCATATTGAGAGTTTAAATGCATCACTTGAAGAATTTGAATTTAATCTTTAACTCAATTTCTAACTTCTGTCAGTACCACAGTCTGTTATCAGATACTAAATTCAAATCGCTGAAATTAAAAAATCAATAAAGGTTGTCCCTTTGGGGACATCCAATATAAGTCCAGCAATTCAAATCGCGCCTTACTAATCTAATTTGACGTTGTTCATGAGTAAAAAGATCGCAAATTCAAGAAAAGGGTTCCAGAAAAAGAGAAAAAGAAGCAATTTTTAAATTTTACCGTCTCACGGATGTCTTCTCCGTGCAAATCCTGCAGAATATCGAGAAACCGATCGAGCAAGAGCGCATCGTACTCAACGAGCTTGTCGTCCTCGGAGACCTTTGCAGGTGCGAGTAGCCTCAGCTGTGCGTCAATCGACGCCATCTTCTCGAGATTTCTACTCATTGTTGTTATCACTTGCGAGCTTTATACGCGATTGATTACCTTCCACACCCGTGAGGCAAAAAAAGGTACAAAAATGGGTGCACGAGAATCCAACCGACTGATTTCTTTAATAGCTTCCTTCAATTTTTCCTCCTCAACCACAATCACGCATAAAGGGGATGGGAAAAAAGAAGAAAAACGGCCGTCTCCTCACGGTTTGAAGAAGGAGCCCTGAAAAGTAGCTTCGAAACGTGGCTCCTGAATGTATTGAAAGATGAGGCGAAAGAAAATAAGCAGCTTTGCCGATTACGGGGAGGAAGAGGATGAGTCTGCGAGTGATTGGGATTAGAAGAAGAAGAGGAAGAAAGGGAGAGTTATATACATGTTCTGGACCCAAGAAGTTTGGATAATTGGAGTCTATCAGTCTCCGTTACTTCGATCGATCTTTTTCACCGGCAAATTAGTTGATGGGCCCTACGTGTAGTTTTACCGTATAAAGTTATAGCGATATAGAGACAAAGTCAAACCCCTTTTTAAAGGTAACGTTTACCAAATAATTACATTTTCCGAATAATCCGAGAATATTCCTTGTTATTTTATTGAAGGTATTCCCCCAATTTTTTGTTTAGGCAGGCGACGGCTCATAATTAAATCAAAAAGTCAAAATAATGATAGCTTAATATTAAAATATACTCCTACTATGTATGGAACATGCTCAAATTATTAGATTCGTATTTTTTGCTTAGGATTTTTCTTCTGCCCGCTTTAGTTTTTTCCGGTCAACGTTATGTTACGCTCGTTGCTCGGTGACTGTCTTGTACCGTTTGGAGTTGGTAAGGACTAAGAGGAACCATGGAGTTTGTACCGTTTAGCTTTGTAATTTGATTTGTGGGTAATTGAAATGTTTGAGTTCAATGATTGGCTTATCAGGCGTGGTTCCTGGTTTGAGGGTAACAGAGAAGGCAGGGTACGCCCCTTCCTGAACCGCCGCTTCGGAGTGGCCGTGCGGCTAGAGTTCGGAGAAGGAAAGATCAAACTTCTTGTGATTCTGGGGAAGCAGTTTAACTCTACTAGTTTTGGCATTCTTTAGTTTTATGTGTTGGTCAAGATGTAATATTGGTTGTTTTTTGTTTTACTTCTGTCTGTTTCTGGAGTTTGATCGGGTGATGGAAAGTCTATTTTGACTGCCTTTGGTTCAGTTATGCCTTTGGCTCACTAACATTTTGTTGGCTTTCCAACTTGACTTTTCCTATATGGTGTATTTTGAAATTATTGTCTTCATTGTTTTGCATTATTGATTCCAATACACTGATAGTTCCAAAAAACTTTGTTCAATGTGCTTGGTGTAAGTTCACTGAAAGATTTTTTCACAGCTTCAATTAAATCTATAATGCTCTTTGGGCTTTTTTTAATCTTTGATTGAATCAACTGCCCTAAAGAATCCCAAATCTAGAACATTTGCATCTGGATTATTTTGTGGCTAGCATTTCAGTTGGATGTTCCAACCATTCTCTGTCCCAAACCTCACAAAGTGAGGGGCATTGACTTCAATATGAGGTCTTGCATTGTCTAATTGGAATTGTATTATTACATGTACACTTTTTGAATCTTGCCATTTGTCTTTGATAGCTCGCATAACTTGATTCAAAATCAAGTCTTTCATCACTCCTCTTGTGACACTTAAGATAGGTTTAGTCTCTAAAGTTCCAGCATGTCAGTTTTTGCTTGATCTTTTGGCCAACTCTTCATATGTAAAACGAAATATATCTACTTCCCCATATTCCACTTGAATGCCTTTTTATTTCCTTTCTTTGAAACCATCTGTGAAGTGTGGAATTTGACACTTGCATTGCATAGCCCAAGACTCTCATATTTTTCTTTTTCTGCAACGGTATTTTGGACAATTTTTTAGAGTCAAAGCCTACATGTTTTCTGTTAACATTTCCTTTCCAATTGCTTTGCACATTTATGGCTTCACCACCATGCATTTGTTCTTTTGCTTTGTTCCACATCTTGTGTACAATGTGTGTTGTTATGTTGAACTCTTTGGCTGTGTTTGTAATTACATCCTTCTAAAGTTTCCATGTCATAGCACTACTTAACAACTTTTTTATTATGTGTCGCCTTTCATCACAACTCAATTTGGGTCTTGGACCTCTCGGGTTTTGTGCTGTATTTGCTTGTCCTTCATCTTGTGATTGTGGTTCATTTGCAGGTACAAAGGAGATATTTGTAGATCATCCACAAGCAGAGCATTAAGATCAAATAGGTTCAGTTGGTTTCAGAATAAACAAGCGGTGAAGAAGAGGATTGGACATCTGCTGTCTCCATTTCTTGTTGTCGTATTGAATGCTCTTTTCATTGGAATCAATGAGTTGTATTTATAGTTTTAGTGTGTTTAATGTGTAATTGGAGGGAATTTCCATGTTCAGAAAGTTTAGGAGGGCTTTTCAAACTTTTGGTGCCAAATTGTGTGATAGATGATTTGAATTAACACTATAGAAGATGGACATATTGAGATGACTGTGTATGTACACTATTCGAATTTCATCACTGTTTTTCCCTTCTTTGTTTACCGTGGTTTAGTAGGGGGGCAATACCCTTAGCAATATAAGGATATTTTTGGAAAGTCTTATCCTTTAATTTTCTTGTCTTAAAACATGTGGATCAAGACTTTAATTAAGGGGCGGAGGGAGTCTATCTCTCTATGGTCTATTGATAATGACGTGCATGTGATTATCAATGGACTCCTTAAGAAATGGCGAAGGAGATACTCGGAGAATCTAAAAGATGACTATCACCCAAAAAGGACACATCCTGGTAGAATGATGAGGTAAAACAAGAAATAAAGACCAAAAGGGAATGCTATAAGAAATTTGGCAAAAGTTGAAGTGACGAGAAAATAGAGGAGTACAAGGAGGCTAGAAGAAGAGCAAAGAAAGTTGTAAAGGAAGCAAGAGAAAATGTGAGCAACGAATTGTATGTAAAATTGGACTCTAAGGAAGGAGCAAAAGATATTTACAGACTTGCTCGCCTTCGTGACCGCAGGACTCAAGATATCGGAAAAGTTAAGTATGTGAAGAGAGTTGATCAAAGGGTGCTAATGAAGGATGAGGAAATAAAAGAGAGGTGCATGTTATAATTTGATACCTTGTTCAACGTGAATAAAGTGCAAGATATTGATAATCTTACTATACCAGAGTGTATGGTAAATCGGGATTTCGTGAGAAGAATCCAAACAACAGAAGTTAAAGAGGCTATGAGAAAGATGAGACAGAAGAAAGCAGTGGGTCCAGATGGCATACCGATCGAGGCTTGGAGAAGTTTGGGAGAGAAAGGCATTGAGTGGCTAACACGTTTCTTCAATATGATGCTAGTGAGTTGGCGGAAGAGTACTCTCATTCCTCTATTTAGAAATAAGGGTGATGTACAAGAATGTGCTAACTATCGAGGGCTTAAGCTTATGAGTCACACAATGAAATTTTGGGAGCGAGTGATTGAGAAAAGACTTCGAAAAAGTTTGAAAATTTAGGAGAATCCGTTTGGTTTTATGCTTGGACGCTCAAAAACTGAGACCATTCACCTTCTTATACAAGTTGTAAAGAAGTATACAGACACTAAAAACATCTGCATTTGGGGTTCATTGACTTAGAAAAGGCATATGATAAGGTACCTCGAGAAGTCCTTTGATGGGCCTTAACTAAAAAAGGCATATCACGTAAGTATATCAGTATCATCATGGATATGTATGAGGCTTGTACTACAGGTGTTCGTACTAGTGTAGGGAGAACCGCAGAGTTCCCTATTACTGTCGAAGTGCACCAAGGATTGGATCTGAGTCCTTTGTTATTTGTTATAGTCATGAATGAAGTTACGATGTCAATTCAAGAAGATATATTGTGGTGCATGATGTTTGCTTATGATACCGTATTGATTGATGAGACGCAATCGGTGTTAAATCAAAGTTGGAAGTATGGCAACAAACATCGGAGACCAAGGGTTTCAGACTGAGTCGAAGCAAGACTTAGTATATGGAGTGCAAGTTTGGTGAAGGTAGAAGTAGTAGCAACGGTCATATTACTCTTGATGGTAAGGAGATACCAGTGTGCGATATGATTTGTTACTTGGGCTCCATAATTCAGAAGGATGGTGAATTAGATGGAGATGTATCCCATTATATACAGAGCTGAGTGGATGAAATGGAAGAGTGCATCATAATTTCTATGCGGTCGAGGTATGCCGACTAGATTGAAAGGTAAATTTTATCGAACAGCAATTAGGCTTGCATTAATGTATGGCGTAAAGTGTTGGGCGGTGAAATAATGTCACATTGAAAAGATGAGTGTGGCAGAGACGTGTATGTTGCGTTGGATGTGTGGACATACCGGAAAAGACCGCTTGATGAATGAGATAATCAGACAAAAGGTGAGAGTAGCACCTATAGAAGATAAGATGCAGGAGTCTTGCTTGTGGTGGTTTGGACATGTGTGCAGAAAGACCGAGTGATGAATCTGTTAGACGATTTGAGGGATGAAGAGAAGAGACAGATAGGAGAGGGAGGGGAAGAAATATTTAACGGTGTTCATATTACATCAATATGAAGTTTTTCAATAATATTTTCCTAATTTCTTTATTTACAATATAAACTGAGTTATTAATGCATATAATTAAGCACACTCCATTCAATAGTGAAGCACGTTATGTAGATGCTACAAATCAAATGTTGTAATGTAAAAATATGAATTGTTTCTTATATTGTATGAGCATTTTTGTATCATTAAATGAGTCAAATAATGCTTTTAAAAGCAATGTTTTAAAGCAATGTTCATATTTATTGTTCAAATTCAATAAGAGAGTGACACATCACACTTTCATAACTAAAGTTTACTATATAGAACAATAGATAATAATAATAATTGTATTTAAATATAAATTTTGAAGTATATACGGAGTATTACTCTTTAGTAGGGTTGTAAACGGATCGAATAATTTTGATTCGATTCGTGATTCGAATTTGAAAATGCCGATTCGAGTAAGTAGAATACAAATATGAATACAAATCTATTTTTTGATTCGAATACTTTACGAATATGAATACAAATACTATGATATTCGAATAATATTCGAATATATTCGAATTATATATATATATATATATATTTATATATTCATACAATATATACTACGGAGTACTTCTTATGAATACATATAGTTCAATGTAAAAATATTAATAACAAAATATTCATGTAAATATTTTGCATATTTTAATTTAAAAATTCTTACTTTACCAGGTCAAAATAGCTTTTTCTACAATTAAACTTCTCCGTTGATTCATCTATATTGATATTAAATTTGAAGTGACTTCTATAAATGAATTTTGTTTCCTATAAAATATGTAATATGAAAATTAGTT